AGCTCCGGGCGCCCGTGGCTTTAGGTAATGACCGCTCGGCCGTAGCGAGTCAGCGAGCCCTCTCCTAACTGTCTGTGTCAACAAATCCGTACCTCGTGAATTAGGGTCCCGGGAGAGCTGCGCTGAGCCCGGCTGGCCTGAGCCGCCGTTCAGCAAGTCGGAATTTTAAGGATCGGGATAATTTATCGCGTTGTTTTTAATGTTTATTATTTATTGCTCTAATTATTTTTCACTTTCTATTGGAAATTTAAAATATATAGATGTACCTGGAGCAGATGCCAACTCCTTTCAGTCTCACTCAACTTCTAATCATCGCATCTGCTTTGTGTCAGAAAATACTTTGGGAACAATTTAACTTTGCATTAAAATAACTAATTAAAGCCACACCTCCACCGCCTCTTGCGAAAGTGGAGGAGGAATTTCAGTAAGTGCATCGCTTTTAATGGTAGCATTCTGATTTCCCTGCCTTGCTGTAATTTATTCAGTTACAGATCTGCCTGCGGGGCAGCTCCCATTAGGCCCATGATGAAGTCTCATGAGTAAAGCTTGACACCTCCCTCCTAATAAAATATAATACTCAATTAACTCGGCCTTTCTGAAGGCTTTAATTGGAACAAGTTAATAATGGGCGCAGGGTGAATTGTCATGCCATCCGCAAGCTCGGGGAAGGTGTCACAGATCCGTCCTGCCTTTCCCATAGCAGAGGTTGTAACCGAGATTTGGAAGCTTTTCCTTCAACACCCCTGTGTTCTGCAATAAATCTGTATCAATTTAAGGATCTATCATAACACACACAAAGCTCCTGCGCTCAAAGAATTTCCAGCGAAAAGATTTAGCTGTAATCCCTGACACAGCTGATTTATACCGAGGGTTAAAAAATACCGCTGGTTTATTTATAACCGGCCCGGCCCAGCTAAGAAAGCCCTCGGGACAATCGGACGGGGAAGGACGGGGCGAGGGGGCTTCGCCCTGCCCTGGAGTTAGGGGGATAATACTTCAGAAGGAGGGAGCCCGAGAAAGAAGCGGTTGTCTCCGGTTTTTATGCGGCAGTAAATGCTAATTTGAAAAGTCTGCACGGAGATGAGATTCCCCCAGCTTTGTTCCCTACGGTGGCGAAGCGGGAAGGTTAATAGCGTTGTTTTTTTCGGCGTCGGGAGAGGGGCGAGCAGGGCAGGATCCACGATGCCCTGAGCTCCCCCAGCAGCTACAACCAGACCGCAGGGCACCCCCCCCA